AATATTATTAATTATATACAGTACCTAATTTATATATAATTAATATATAATTATATGTACAGTACCTAATTTATATATAATTTATATATAATACTTAACAGACGATATCAAACTCAATTTAGCCGCTCCGTAGCGTGGCGCAGGGTCGGAGGAAAGTAGTTCGGCTGCTCATCCACTATTGGTCCAGACTCTATCAATCTTGTCGCGAAACGACGTTATAGGAGGTACTTTATACGAAAGTTTCTACAATTTTTTCGTTATGTTATAGGAATTGTCGTTATAGGAACGTACGTTATAGGGGGTCGCCTGTATATAAGTTTCAATGTGCAGTTTTTCATCTGCCGCCATCATTATTCTTTCGTCGTGCCATATGACATTTCGATTAAATAATAATAAGCACGAGTAAACAGAGTATAAACATTTTAAAATAACTAAATTGAACTACATTTATCAACTATTAAGTATAGATGATTTTTGATGTATTTAAATCAAAATGTTAACAGAAATTTAAAGGTATTACAAGAAAGAAAATACTCGCTTCTGTTGGGAGTCGAACCTACAAAAAACGTTTCCGGAAAGCGCTGCCTTATTCATTGGAACACAGGAGCAGACACATAAGTAATTAAACTGGAAAAATATGATTTGTAAAAATCGTTTCAATTACGCCTAAACTACTCAATAATTAAATCGAATTGCACACTATAATAAAAATAAATAAAAATAAACAGAACATGTATGCAAACGACGATATAAGAAAACAAGACACAAAATAAATATTCATATGAATTAAAAACAACAATAAGCAATTATAATTAAGCGATTAAAAGCTTATCTCACAGAAAAATAAAATAAAAAACACTCCAAAATTGAAAACTTTCTATCGTACAATTATAAACTTCAAAAAGTGGCAATTTCTTGATGCAAAATACAGTACGATCATAAAGTTGATCGCGCAAGAGCCACTGCAATGCAACGAAAAGAAAATGTCTTCTAACACGTTAAACGCACGATATGCCATTAACACCATTAATTCGCTAATCTCCAATTGCCCGCTCGTTGCAGCCGTGCGCAAAATAAAACAATATTTCCTTCCTTCGCGTTAACTAATTTGATGGGCGTCGTTTAACGATTCGGCTGAAACTCGTTAAGTATTTTCGAGCGCGATTCGACGCGTAATGCCTTTCTTTGAGGAAATTGCTTGGCTCGCCAATTGACACTCGCATTGCTCGATTCAAATATCGTGCTTCTGTCGTGCGAGCTGTATGACCGCTTTCGCTAAAAACGAATTAATGATTTGATAATTTCACATCGAATTACGGACAGTCATAGTTAATTTACCATCTATTTACTTATCACGCGACGAAACGACACACGTTTTTAAATTCTTGTTCACCACGTTCAACAACCCAACCTTCGCTTTTTTGCGGCAGCATTCTTCTACTACAGATACTAGTTTATAAGACAATCTGTAATGCGTTAAGGTGATACAATACAATACAATAGAGTACTAGTAAATAATTAGGAAACCATACCTTGGGCTTAGTTAGCCTTTGAAATGAAGGATAATGAGAGTGAGGGAGAGAGGAAAGAGGAAGTAGAGGGAAGTTGGAAAGGGGGAAAGGTAGATAAGAAGTGGGAAGTGAGTCACCTGAGCAGACAACCAGGATCCGTTACTGGTTAAAAGAAAACTTTACAAACACAGTATGGGTCACAGGTGAATACAGACATCAGATTGCTCACATGATGTGGCAGTGACTCATCACTGCAATTAAAGGACAACAGTATGACAAGACCGACGCTACTTGTGACAAAATAAGACATAAAGGCCTGATGAAAGCTTAACACAACGCGTGACAAAACAGAGCAAACACGACGGGTAACAATTTTTTATTCCTACCAACGGCTCGTGACAAAGGGTGTCTACGCGACACTCAGGTTTGCATGAGGTCTATAATGTAAGACTGCGACTTACGAAAAGGAAAACATCCACAAGCGAAAAGCGAAAAATATCGCTGGCAAGAGCGAACTTCTGGTTCTCGCACACTTCTGACAGGGTGTGATATTTTTCGCGACTCGTCACTTCTCGCCAGTATTCTCACTCTCTCGCGTCTGCGTAATGTCGCACCATAATGGTCATCATCACTCTGGACTCTGAATCCAGCGATCCGAGTTCGAAACTCGGCCAGACCTTTTGTTTTTTTCTGTCGTCGAAGTTCGTGCCCTATGCGATTATGACGCCTTAAAACGTGTTTTAAATCTGCCCGAATGTTTCGGAGGAATTTTTTGCGATATCTGTAGAAACATCTGCCACAGGATAGCATACAGTGCCTATGTCCAACCGTATTGTACTCAATCAAAAAAGCTCATTGTGATATTGATTGTGTTTCAATAGCCAAGTGTTTTTGACCATTAAATATCTAGCCTACCCGTTGTAGTCGCTGTCAGAATAGTAATAATGTTTTATACTTTACTTTTTTTCGTAAACAAATCAAACAAGTGTATAAATCGTGGTAATTTTAAAGTAGCAAAGTTATTAGGTTTTAAAGCTTATTTTAATTAAAGCGTTCGTCGTGTTAAGCGAAAACACCAAAAACCTGTAAGTTTTGTTCGGGTGAAACATCGTAAGTTCTTGTAGACGAAATATTTAAATCACCCGCACAGAAAAGAAGAACAATATTATTTATTTATAAGCAATTTATTTTCAAAATTCTTAAAGTTGCAATTAAAAATTAACGGGCAATTGTTTATTGTGACATGGTCACAATGCCGGGCGGTAATTTTTAATCATATTTTTTATTTATTTCATTTAAAATATNATTTATTTTCAAAATTCTTAAAGTTGCAATTAAAAATTAACGGGCAATTGTTTATTGTGACATGGTCACAATGCCGGGCGGTAATTTTTAATCATATTTTTTATTTATTTCATTTAAAATATATGCCGTCCACCTCAAATTACTACTGTAGTGTCTCGCCCCTGTACATCATTCTTTTCCTGTCAGCAATGGACTCATGCCTGTCATCTATTTAACTCCTTCACGGGAAATGTTTTGAATGGAAATAATGTGACTTCCGCCTTGCATCGGAAGTTCGTATATGCTCCTAATCTTTTCATATGTGATCTCGACTTTCATGTACCTAACTGCGTTCTCGAGATTGAGGAAAATGGACGATAGTGGGCATTTATATATCTACAATGAGTTCAAATTGCAGCCCAACAACAATATTTTCTACTGCATTCGTCCATCTTTCGGTTGAAATTTTATGGAAAAATTGAAAATTCGAATAAAGTAAAAATGGAATTCCGAACATAAGCACTTTCAGAATTCTATAAATTACATTTTTGAAAAGTTTCATAAAAATGTTCGGAAGTATTTTCACAATAAAAATCTCTAAAGTTTGATCAGGAAGTACAAGGAAATTCAAAATTAAAATACAAAGCCAACAGAACTCATTTAAAACGATGAAAAATGGTTCATGTCACGGCAATAAAAATATTTTCTACAAACAATAAAGAAAATGACAATCAACAAGAATTGTCAATGTGTATTTTCGTGGAGACGTCATCAAAATATTTGTCTCTGCAAGGACAGGAAGAGAAGGTTATCAGAAGGATTTGTCAATGTATCTCTTCGTTGAAACATAATCAAAATGTTTGTCTCTGCAAGGGAAGAAACCGAGAAAATGGCAATTGGAATAGTAAAATAGAAATCTGTTTGCCTTCAATTCTGTTTGGCTGCTCGATTAAGTAAGGAAATAATGAATCGTGACATAACAAATGCTGTTTTTCGTAAAGATAAAAGCTTTATTTTAATGAAATCGTCAAGTCATCAGCAAAAGTTTTTTAAATCTACTAAAGTGTTACTTTCATTTGATCCCAAAGAATGGAATCCGTGTTTAAATCTGAGAAATAGAATTGCAATGCACACCGTTTATCATCAGTTTATGTATTTTTCTCTATGAAAGTGTTGAATCTTAGGTTTATTATTATTATTTGTA